TGCGAAAGTATCCCGGCGCCCCCCCTTGAAGCTTTTCAACCTTCTTGCACACATTTCAGGCTTTCAAACATAAGACTATACAATTGTTATTTTTTGGTGAGAAGAATCACCACACAAGTGGGAGCGACAAAGTTGTGAGAGCTTCGGAACGATGAGATCTAGGCGTTGGATGGGGATTTTCAAGAGCTTTGCTTTAGCAAATAAAAAGACTGAGAAGAGTGGGGGGCGGTGCAAATAGCTTATTCGCCCTTTACTTTTCAGGTGCAGCAACTCACTCAGAGTTGCAGGCAGCGAGGGAGTCTCGCTGAATGGATCCGCAGAGTGGCTTGTCGCTTAGAAGTGAACTGCGGGGGGCCGGTCAGGGCCGGGGGTTTCGTTTTGGGCGTGCGGGTGGGGGGTTGTAGGTCCTTTTTTCTTGTTTTTTTTTTTGTGGGGGTGGGCTGGATGGGGGTCGCATAAATAGAATCCACCTGTGGGGCTGTGGGTGAGCATCAAGTTCGTGCTGAAGACATGGCTGCAGTTGATCTTATATTGATTTCTTCATATCTTGAGTGCTATCACAGCCCTGCGCGTATTCTTGAAGGTAATTGCTAGTAGGCTGCGAGCATTGATCAGACGGGTATAGAGTCACACGTGTATTGGTGTTAGGGATGTAATCAATAATATAAATGGCTGTAATGTATCATATTTCGCGTTTTTGTTGTGAGTAATTTCAACGCTTCTGGAGGCCCATAGACAATCGTCTGCCCCGCTTTTTCCAACTCTCTGAAGACCCTCAAACTAGAAATGAGAGGCTGAAAGGTATGTTCAGAGGACCTTTAAAACCTACAAAATGAATGCTTTTTTAATACTTTCGCAAGGCACTGTACCATGCATTCATAAGACTCTTACTGACAACATGGCTGACCCAAACTAAGATAGAGAGCCTGAAAAACAAATGATCTAAACTCCTTCATATGGCTGTTTCTTTAAGTGGAAGTACTACCGACTGTCAGATCATAGCTTTTGAATCAGACAAATGCATGCAGCTGTGTATACAAATGATTAGTGTGTCTTCTCTGTGCCTCTGTACTAAGGCTGCACAATTATTTAAAATATTATGGAAATCACAGTATGGATGAGCGCTAAATCCAGATAGCAGAAGAGGCAGTTTGTAGAAGGTAAAGTAAGATGTGTGACAAAACAGTATTATAATGAAGTAAGGTAGTGATACGGAGATTACCTGACCTACAAATCTTGTTCTCCATCATCATTATTTAAAGTTTTTTTTAGTGAAAATGAAAATTGTGATGCAAAAATCACTGTTCTCACTAAAAGTGAATCATACTGTAGTTGTAATATCTGTCAAAATAATCGCAATATGATTTATTTTACCATATCGTGCCGCCCTACTCTGTACCTGATGCTATAGCCAACTCCATGTCTCTCTTGTTGGCACTGAGAATCTCCTCTTTCTTCTCTGTAAGCAGCTCAGCAAGACAACAGATGATCTCCCCTCGCTGGAACAAACAAACGCATGCACACACCCATATGATTAACAACACCAGTATGAAGAGTAATTCAATTTGCTACCTACTAATTTAATAATACTTCATAATTTACAAATTATATAATGAGGTCAATATACTGTAATGGAAACCTGTTGGACTAAATCTTAATATAGCAGTGCTAAATAAATTGCAATAAATGCCATTCCAGTAAGGAAATATATACGATCATACAAGCCTCAAAACAACTTGAAAAATCATCCTCTTATACAAGCATCTTAAAAGCTCACTTCAGTTAGCCAGACCACACTGAGGGTGCAAGAAACTCACTTGTTCAGGGTCCAGAGAGGCCAGAGTCCTGCCTGCATGCCGGGCCATCTCTGTCTGCTGCTCCACAGTTGGACCTGGTGGTATCAATAATAAATGAATCAGATGTAAAAAACACACACAAGCAGGTTAAATATTATTTTCAGATGGTTGTATCCTGTACCTGCAGGTTTCACTTCAGAGAAGAAGGTGCCAACTTTCTTCCCGTCCACAATGTCTGTGATGACGTGACCTGTGACTTTGGGATGTGTGCCGTTGGCGATGACAACCGACGTCCCACCCTGCAGTGCCCAAAGGGCTGCTTTCACCTGATTCAGACAACATAATGCAGCTTCTTCATCATTCCATGAGCTCAGTCCTGTTTACACTTTGAGATACAATACTGTGTGTCATGCTGACCTTGGCTTCCATGCCGCCAAGGCCGACTCTGGACTTGGTGCCGTATGTGATTGACTGCTGGTCTCCAGGATAGAAAATATCAATGAGCTTGGCATCATCTGTTCCTGGGGGACTATCGTATAAGCCTGTGGAATAGATATTTTTTCCTTTTTAATCCTTCACAGAACCAAAGGAGTCACACTGATATTGAGATCTTTCGATCAAGAAAACCCTGACAAAGAGGCCCAATAGTGTACGGAAAGTTTCTATTAGCATATAACAATGCAGTAACAGGATATCATTGCTGAAATGAATAATAATTTTACCTTTTTTAAGTACTCCAGTGAACTAACAATACACTCCCATAGAGTTGGGAGACAGATTATAAGGAAGAATGGTCAAAATCAGAGCAGCTAATGCTAAGAAACCCTGACTTTTATTCTCTAGTATTGAAACGCTCCAACAAACACTGTATGCCACATTCCATGTACAGTACCTCAGTAGCGTCTTTCATTATCAATCATCAAATCAGTAATTATTTCTGTACCTTCAACATCAGACAGGGCAATAAGGAGGTCTGCTTTCATTTCAACAGCCAGCCGTGCAGCCAGGCTGTCATTATCTTTGATGCTGATTACCTGAAATACAAACAAAAATTTCATTAAGCCAAAAGCAAAATCACTGTATCTCACATTATACTGTAAAATAAGAGCTTATCAGTTGCTACCATGCAACAAAAGCCTCCCCGACCCATTCAGTTACAGAACAAACAACATATGTTCACCTCTTTCCAGAAACAGATAACACAAGCAAGTTCATGCATGGCAGAAAAAAACACCACCATACTTTAACATGACAACATAACAACATTAAAAGCAGCCTTTAAAATTAAAAGCATGTGTCAAAGACGTTATATGTTAGTGAGGATGGAGGTAAAAAGAAACACACGTCTTCCATTTATGTATGATTGAAGCAATCCACCATCACAACCACATTTAGCATTACTAGCATGCCCTTCACACAGTACCCACATTTACCCCCTGCAGGTCACTGTTGGGAACAGGGGGCGGAACAACAGCATCATTGGTGTTGATGATAGGAACAATGTTCATCCTCAGCAGTTCATGGAGCGTGCTGTTCAGGTTGCGACGCTTCTGCTCATCGTGAAAATCCAAGTTGGTGACCAGAATCTACGGAAGAGGACAGAAATGTACGGAATTAAGTGACATTTAACTCATTTGCTGACAGTGTTTTATTCTGCGAGAACAGTCGAACACATACTTGTGCAGTGCAGGTGCTGTACTGGGTGAACATAGCTTCATACAACGCCATCAGACCGCTCTGTCCAGCAGCTGCGCATGCTCTTGCCTCCAAAACTGGAACTGACTGACAGACAAAGAAATTTCACAAAGGTTAAGAAGACTGAACAAAATTCAACAAATGTCTTTAAGCATTTCTCTTAAATTCCCAGTGTTCAAGATTATTATTCACCATGTCTTTGAGTTGGTTCTGTCCAGAATGCAAGGCTTGTCTGACGCTCTGAGACAGCAGGATCTCATGTCTCAGTCTCTGCTTCCCAAACGCCACAGCTCCACTGGTGACAATCATCATCTCCCTGCCCTGATTCTGCAGCACGGCCACCTGACGGGACACACGAAGACATTCAAGTTCCTCTTTCACAGCCAAGATCACTTCTCAGTCCAGTTTGCTTTTAAGTCTTCCTTGAGCCCACATAATGTTATGCTCACACTAACACAGCCATCAACAACAGAGTTCCTCTCCCATAATATTAATGTGGCGTTACCTGCTCTACTATTGAGGCCAGTCGTCCGAGTGCCAGGCCGCACTCATCCCGCGTCACCACAGCACTCCCCAGCTTCACTACAATGCGTTTGGCCTGCTTTAACTCACTGCGGTGGGCAAAAGACTTCCCATGGGGACGTGGGACTGCAGAGAATAACAAAATCACATTTTATTACACATCAGCATGCACCAAAGCGTTCTATAGCGTACATATCAAAAGAAATGATGAGAATAGTTCAGGTATGACAAAGAACTTGGCAAGTTACTTACATTTAACCTGGGAATACGCTCTGATGGAGGCCGGACATCCATTGGACTGCCGGACTGTGGATGGCAGGCGAGAGCACAAGGCCAGCCTGGCAAACATGGCTCTGACACTTGAGGACAGCTGTGAACACACAAACCAGTGACAGGTTACTCTAACAGTGCCATAACCTCATCTGAGATAAGCAGCTTTGATATGATAGACAAACTGTGTAGCTGGCTCTAAACCAAGGCTTCAAAATATAAATATCATACATTTTTAATATCAAAATCAATGAATATTATTCATTTAACATTATTTTAGTCTCACTGGAAAGCTTTGCATCATGTGCCATATGGTTATCAGCACTGTGTTAGTTGAACTTGACACACTGACCCAGTAAAGAAGATGTTGTTTGGATTCATTATCTTATAATATTCGCCAGCAGAAACACCCAGGAGCTTGGAGCTGTGCACACAAATTAACTCTAACATATGTGAAGCCATTAAAGTTAAGAGTTAGTTTTTAAAAAAAAAAAAAGGCTGACAGATTGTAGCTATGTGTTCAGTGTTGCTGTCAAAACGTACCTGGGGCTAGCTGACGTTAGCTAGCATTAGCTGTTGTGAGCTACCACACCTCGTCTAGCCTAGCAGCTACTTTCAACTAAACATACGGAGGAACTTTGGTGCAGAATAGCTGCTTACCTGTCAGTGTGAAAATCTATACAACCCAACCACAACTACACCAGCGAGAGCTCTGCAGGAGACACGTAGCAGCCGGACTGGCGGTGCTTTGCCTTGCCACATCCACAGCCCACGTTGGATGGGGAGCGCCGTAGTTGAGGTATGCACAAACGACGTGTACGTAGGCTATCTGGATACGTGCGTGCAGTACGGCGGCAGATTACGTCTTTACGTACGCAGAAATAGTGGTTTAACGTAAACTGGATGGGTGGACGCTTCTGGGGCTGTGGGAAGTACAAGCACAGGGATGGAGGGTGAAAATATACACTGGCTGTTTATTTGTTTCAGCTTTTATTAAAGTTAGGAAGACAAACTAATTGTATAAATATCAAAATACAAATGCAGATTTAAGACATATGTTATTTGTTAATTATAGTTTTGCATGAGATATATGTTTTGGAATAAAAAATATAGATTTATTGAATACCAATGTCACATATTTGTTGTAAAATGAAAATGTTATTAGAAAATTGTACAAAATAAATAAATAAATAAATAAATAATGTGTAGATTTAACAATGAATATCACATAGGTACATTTTTTACAAAATAATCCTAAATAACGGTTTACTTAACATGTCATGCCATGACATCCCAGAAAACTCTATCTGCTAATCAAGACTTTCAGATGCAGTTGAAAGCTCCTTAAAAAAGCTAGTAAGTGAATTATTTTTGTCAAACTGCTGTTGAGTAAAGAATGAACTTTCACAGTTACATTAATTAATTTTTGTTTGATTCAATTTTAAAACAACTAACTGGTAATTCAATACACTTAATCCAGTTTGTTGGAAATGTGCCATTCAATTGTGTGTAGTCTCCTGAGAGTCAATGGCTTGAAACAGCTACTGGAGGATGTCAACTCATCTTTAGTAATCTGACACTGAGGCACATGAGTGGCGTGTGCATGCCAAGAGAGGCCTGTGAAACATTGATGAGCAGGAAGGCCAGGAGCACAGTGCAGTCTGAGCTGCCATAACAGCTGCAAGCAGAGCCATGGGGACTGTTGAGAAAACTTTAAAGTGTCCCGTCTGCCAGGACTTCTTCACAGATCCGGTGACGCTGCCATGCGGACATGATTTCTGTCTTACCTGTATCCAGGCTGTTTGGGAAACAGATGGGCCTAATGAGGGTCCTTTCTTCTGTCCAGAGTGTCAGGTATTCTTCCCCTCTGACCTCAATCTGGAGAAAAACACCAGCCTTCAAACAAAAGTAATGGATTTCACCACTAACAGACCTTCAACAGCAGAGCTACAGACAACAACACCAAGCAGGGCAACCAAATCATCTTCAACTATCCACTGCGACCACTGCATAGAGACTCCATCGGTGGCCATAAGGACCTGTCTGACCTGCGATGCCTCACTGTGCCAGGCTCACGCCCTGCTGCACCAGCAGAGGTCTGCTCTGCGGGACCACACAGTTGTGGAGGTGACGGGGGATCCGCTGTCTCTGAAGTGCAGGGAGCACCGCGATGAGCTCAAGCTCTTCTGTATGGAAGAAAGGGTCCCTGTGTGCTGTTTGTGTGTCCTCGTTGGCGTGCACAAGAACCACAAAGCGTCTCAACTCCATGAAGCCTGCACTGACTTCAAGGTGAATGTCAGTATTGTTTTGTCACTGTCATAGTTATTAATGTCCCAGTCAGGGTATTTATTTTCCATAGGCCTGTTGTATTTATCTCTTTAGAACATGTTAGAGACCACTATGAACCAACTGCTGAAGAGGAGAGGTGAAGCAGAACATGCCATCAAGGACTTGGAGTCACTATATACACAAACAGTGGTACAGTCAATGTAAAATACCCCTTTAATCATCTATGTTTTGATTCATAGAATCCCCTCTGATGTAATGTTTTTATTATAATTTCCCAGAAGTCTGCTGCAGATTTCAGAGAAAGAGTCTCAGACAAGTACAGCAGGATCCGCGTTGTGCTGGACGGTGATGAGCGTCTGATGATGCAGATTATAGACGCAGAGGAGACATACATGACGGAGTGGCTGGAGGCCCAGAGGGGCATAATGGAGGCTCAGATCAAAGAGATAGACAGCCTCAGAGCCTCCAGCAAATCACTCCTCCAAGAAACAAATCATCTGCGATTCCTACAGGTAGATTACCGGTACCATATATTATGACAGTGTGTTTTTGTGATTATATGGAAGTCTTGCACAAATGCAACCAAAGTGTTTTCAACTGTAGTACATGACCTGTTTATTTTCAACAGCAAATCACAGCACAGAATCTTTGGTGAGTATATCGTCACTCTATTTTTTTCTATCCTAATTGCCTTCTTTTGGTTAGTTTTCTGCTGTCTAATGGTTTTCAGTTTTCATTGTAGTGATCCGGTGGATTTAGCACCAATCCAGAAAGTAGACAAACATCTGTGTGACCCTGAGAAGCTGAGAACAGTAGAGAGGCTGGTGGATGACCTCTCAGTGGCTCTGTCCCAACACTTTCCACGTATGTGGTCATGTGAGTAAAGAAACAAATATTTTGCTATCTAAAATCAACCCCTGTTATCTCTGTAGTTGTGTACTGAATGTAGATTGTTATTTGCAGATTTAAGTTCCCCTTCTCTGGACTCCAACACAGCCCATCCGAAACTGGAAATATCCCAGGACAGGAAACAAGTGTACTGGAGGCAGCAGCCTGTCAGTGAAGCTGTTAGCCCTCAGCCTTATGACTCCCAGTTTAGTGTACTGGCTCAGGAGAGTTTTACTACTGGTCAACACTACTGGGAGGTCATAGTCCAGGAGAAACCTTACTGGTTAATAGGTGTGACCGCTGGGCCAGTCGAGAAGAAAGACGGTCCAAGCCAGAGATCCTCAAGCCTGGGTGTGAACAACACATCCTGGTGCATCTACCATGGAGATGGACAATACCTGGCATGTCATGATACCCAGGAGAAACAGCTGTCAGTGGGAAAAAGAGTGAGAAAACTGGGCATACTGGCAAATCTCCAGAAGGGGGAGCTGTCATTCTACGATTCTGATTCTATGACCCTGCTGCACACTTTCCGTGTGCAGTGCACAGAGCCTCTCTACCCCATGTTAAACCCATGCATTGATGTGAATGGACTGAACAGGCAGCCTCTTACCTTGTTCTTGATTAAGGACTCCTGGAATTGGCATGTGAACACAAATGGGGCTAAAGGGTGAACTTAAGAGGACAACCCTAAACATTTTTCCATGTTTCATTCCAGTTTTTTATGCTGTCAACATGTGTGGCTGTCAAAATTACATAGCCATCATCAGTTTCCCTGCCTGGACTTAAACCATGATCAATTTACCTACCTCCATATTTAAGAGAAGATGTAGCTAGAGCTAAGATGATGGACATACAATACATTTCTCATTTCTAGAAGCAATGGGAGAGAGAGTTTAAAATACTGCATTATGATGTTCTGATGTTCACATTATTATTATTAATATTATTATTATCATATAATGTTGATGTTTCATAGAAATCTGTTAAAGATTCTCTCCAGACATGTATTAAGATACAGTCTGCTTGGAACCATAATGTTTGTCTGATATGTGTTTTTTCTGTTAAAAGGAAGGAATGTATAATTTCCACAATAAAATCCTTAAAGAGACATCTACTCCTTGTACCTCATTAAAATTGCAACATCTATGAATATGCTAATTGTGTTTTTCTAAAGTTTTCCTGCTGGACACAAGATGTCTCCTGCTCCACTTTAAAGTGAATTATCAGTCTATTTGCACTGGTGGCTTCACGTTTCTACATCTAAGCTATTTGTGATGTCACAAATCATGCTCGTAGGCTACGCCCCTTTTAATCAGATTTTCAATGAGCACAGAGAAACTTTCCACTTTCAGCAGATGAATGTGAAAACATCCTGTAGTGTCAAACTCTGCACACACATAATCCAGCACAGTGAAGCTCAAATATCAAACTTATAGCTGAGAAGAGCTAGAGAGAGAATTTTTGTAGTAGTCTATAATCTTATCCATATTACCTTTTCATTGTCTGCAGTTGTTGTGTGCATTAAATATTTCATCAAGTGGTATCAGGTGCATCCCCATACAGCACTTCTGTTGTAAAGTCTATCTATTCAGTCCACAGCTCTCATGTTTGACCTGATGTAGCCCAGAAAGTAAATGACCCGTGTGTAAATTACTGGCTTGTTCTTTGTACAACTGTCCCCTCAGCTCACCAGACCATGGAGGACATGCGCGCCTTCATTCTCACATGTCAGTGATACAGAGTTGCTGCCCTGCAGCAAACAATGCAATGCAGTGACAGAACACAAGAGACTTGACTCTATTTTTTTAGACTATTATTCGTACAGTATAATTTTCCTCTGTGAACATGAAGAAGAAGAGACGGAAGAGTACAGTCTGAAAATCCATATCCACCTGTCTGCTCCTTCTCTGGAGCCTTTGAGTCGGCCCCTCGGAGGCACCAGGCACAAATCATCTGTCAGGACATTTTGATAGACTTTAAAGCTTGAGCACATTTTGTGGCTCATCAGCTTTTCAAAAGTGGTGACAAAATGAGAAAATGTAACCCTATTTGATCTTGAGCAATAATTATGTCTACTGGTTTCTTAAAAGGCATATTCATGAAAACCAGGGGTGCAGCTATGGATTCTGCCACCCTTGGGCCTGGTGAGGACATACAGCATAAAGAGAAACTCAATGAAGTACACACTAAGAGGAAACATTTATCCGCGTGGTTAAAATATCATGTCATTAATGATATATCTACTTACTGTTAGAAGTTTTTATTTATTTTATTTATTATGCATTCCTCCACAATTATAAAACTATAAAATAAAACATTACACCTTTTTTCTTAGGGGTAAGGGCAGTCACATTTTAAATGTATTGTGTCTCTTCCTTTTCCGCATCAGTTTTTATTGTAAGGTTTTGGGTTGCCTTTGCCTTTAGGGGGAAACCGATGGAATATGACATTTAGTTGTACAGAGAAGACAGACAACACAGTTTGATGAAATGCTTCATTTGTTTTTGGGTTGTATTAAGTAGCACTGAAATTTAAAACGGTATTGTAGACCTGAAAAGCAAAATAACAACTGCAAATGATCCAGAAGCTAAATCATGATGAGTAAGACTTGTTCCATACACAACCAAGTCCTCGGCTACACTGGCTGGCATGTTGCTGAGTCAATAGAGCTTATTTATGGGGATGCTGCTCCAGTCTTTGACTTGATCCAGTCCACAAAGTGAACGACCCGTGTGTAGACCCCAGGCTTGTTCTTCCTTCCACATTGGTCTCCCCAACTCACCAGACCATAAATAATATCAGTACTGTTCAGTTTACAAGTCAGTGGTCCTCCAGAGTCACCCTGAAACAAGAGCAAACAGATGACCAGATAGAAAATCACACAACTATTTTATTACTTATAGTACTTTAGAACTTATCTCAGTTTTCTGATTCATGCAGATATGTTGAACAATAGCATGCACTTAACTGGCAAGTTTCCTCTACTAACCTGGCAGGAATCCACGCCTCCCTGCAGGTAGCCAGCACAGAACATAGTATCATCCAGGACACTTCCATAAACAATGGGCTTAGAGCATTTTTGCTGGTTGATTAGCAGTACATTAGCCATCAGCAGGTTGTTGGAACCATACTGAGCTGCAATGATAAGGTGGGAAAATTTTAATTTGACCAAATAACCAGAAAAACAAACATGCCATTGTTGTTTCTGATTTCAAGATTCAAGGTTTAGGGGCTCCTTTAAACTAAAATACATGAAACTGTTATGTGCTTCTGAAGCAACCCAAAAAATCTGAATGAAAATAATGGCTTTTATTTTGTGTCTGAACATGAAAAAGTGGCCTTACATTCCTCAGTGGCACCCCATCCAGAAATGGTACACTCCTTCCCATCAGGCAGTTGGGCATCTGGCAGACAGGCTGTCTTCACAAATTGGGTCTCATTGGCACAAACTCCATCGGTACCACTCAGCCTCAACAAGGCTTTGGAAATTTAGTTTGGATAAAAGTCACAACAAAACAAAAAATAAAATCATACATCTGCTTAATGAACTATATTCATATACTATAATTATATAATTACAAAGGTACTTAATTAACACTTTCACATCCTTAAAAATGATTAAGATACAGATATGAGATCAGATATTAAATTATAATATTGTTGTAATACTGGTGCTTATTTTATAGAAATGAGAGAGACATTGATCACCTATGTCATTGTAAACAGCCACTGGAGTCTCCCTGTAGTTCTCATGTACAATAGCCTCCTCCACTCTTATGGTTTGCTCTGTGAGATCCTCCGAAGCCAGTGTCAGACTTCCCATAGACACCTGCATGTCCTTGCTTTGTTCACTGTCCAAACACAGAAAACACATAATTCAGTAAAGATTAGGTTCACATGTGAAAGCTATTTTATAATCAGCTGATGTCAGATTTCTATTCCTAATTATTGCGCTTACATGCAGTGTCCAGCTGTCAGTACCCAGCAGCTCTCGATGAGAACTCCTCCGCACACGTGTCTGAATGTCTGTTTAGAGTTCTTTGGTCGCACTTCCACAGACACCTGCCAGGGTATAGCACCTGGAGCGACTTTCAGACCCCCAAAGATTCTGGTAATGGTTTTTTTTGGCTGAGGCTTCCCACAGGTTGAGAACTGTTGTGGTGGTGCAGTGCCAATGGGGGTGGGAGGTACACTAGCTGGTGCAGAAGAAGGTTTTGGAGCCTGGCTGGGCTTCTCTGTCACTGTGGGGGCGGTTGTCATTTGGGGTTGTGAATCTGTTGCTGTAGTTTGGGGCTTGGGAGCAGTGGGTTTGGGGTCTGGAGAGACAATTTCAGTTGGTGTCACACCTGAAAACACAAACAAGAAGATCAATAACAACTTTTATTGACCGCACTCATAATCAGAGAACTGTCTGAAGTTTCAGAGCTGACCTGTTGGTTTAGGACATTGTGTCACATCACAGTAGTCCCAAAACAACTTTCTGCCTCTTCTCAAGAAACACCAGGGCATCAGCTCTCCATCTGGGTTTCTGTGTCATACAAATATGTGAGTGAGCATCCCCTTGTAGATGTCCCCTGCCATTTGAATGCATATTTTTATTTTCTCCTGACCTGCAGAAGTTGTGAGGGCCAAGTCCATCTTTGTCCTCGAAGGAGCTGAAGGGATCAGCTCCTTTCTCCAGGATGAAGTGAGAGTTCCAGTAAAGGCATTCATCGCCATCATCTGTCTCACTCACATTGCCACGATATGACTCTCCATCATCCACATAGCAGTCATTTGGGCCTAAGAAATAATAATAATAATAATACATTTAATTTATAGAGCGCTTTTCAAGAAACTCAAAGACACTTCACATTAATTAAAAAGGAAAAGAAAAAGGTAATAAAAAGAAATTATAGCTATATCTACAACTCTCAACAAGAGTAAGAAATATAGCACACTCGGTCAGAAAGTGAGTTATGACAATGCATGTACTGGACAGGGAAAAGGAAAACAATAATGTAGATTGTAGTATTTACCAACATGGCAGAAACGTCCTCTGTACCCTGGAGGGCAATGGCAGTCAAAGTCATTACCATCCCTGATGCATGTTCCACCATTCCTACATGGATTAGGCTTACACAGTGACACTTTGGAGAAAAATAGAAAAACAGTAAATGCTTGATTTAAGGGAGAAAACAGAAGTATTCTGTCTTGTTTGTATGAAGAAATACTCCTTACAAGTTCTGCAGTGTGGAGGCTGGAAGGGCGCCTTGCACTTGCACTCGTAGAATGGGGGAGTTGAAGTCAGCACACATTCACCACGCCCACATCTACCTCTCCTACAATGTTTTGGACCTGAGATGATGATACAATAGTTTGAATTAATTTTTGCTCATTACATATTGTGCATATATGAGCAGTCTGCAGTCCAAAAACAGCACGGGGAAAGTGTTTCAAACCTTTTTCGCATTTCCTTCCCCTGAACGGTTTGGGACAATCACATTTGAATTGTCTCTTGTTTTTCTGCTCACACTCTCCATTGTTGAGGCAAGGGTTCGGGTTGCATTTGCCTGAGAAATGTCAAAAGTTAAAAGGGGAAATTAAATTAGAACTTTACATTGCAATTTAGCCTCATTATGTAGCCATTAAGAAATCGGACATTACACAGATAGGTATAAATAGCTTGACAGAATACCTGAGTGTTAACTCTCTCACCTTCTGGCTCTTGAAGTTCCAAAAGCCAGTCTGAACCATCATCGTCTTCGTCATCTTCACCAGCCCCATCGAAGATTTCAAAGAAGATGTCTAAAACAGTATATTTCCTTTATTAGATATAAAGCATCATTGTTTTTATCTCTTTCTTATCCTATAAAACAAATATCAGATTAACTAGGGAGTTGTATTATACACTGTAAGAATCCACAGGATACTAAATGTTAGATATAGTTCCCTAAATATAATATGTTATAAAAGCAATACAAAGAAGCACTTACCTTCAATTATGTTTTTAAATCTTCCTTTCGTTTTGTTGTGTTTATGATGCCCATGTCCATGATCATGAAGACGATGTTTCTTGTCCTTTTTACGTTTCATCTGAATAATAATTTGACAGCACCACATAAGAGTCATAATAATAAAAATAATGTGAAGTAGCTATAATTTTGTTGTTTCTGACAGTTTTTACCATGACAAAATTACCATGATAAAATAAATGCAATTAATTAGTCCTTTTAAGCAGAAACGTGGACAGTGAGCTTTACTGCATTTTATTCCCAGCAAAATGCATTATCAAACATTGCAACATTGTAAATGAGAGCCAATACATTTGCTGCACATATATAATATAATACAGTAAATACATACTTCAGCAGGTATGAGGAGCGCTGCTAGGAAGAGGCAAAGGAAGAGGAGCTTTAGGTTCATGATGGCAGTGGAGCAGAAGTATTCCAGGAGAGTAAATGAGATTGTGCTGTCTGGCAGGTCACTCACACTTTTCCAAACATTTGTGTAAGTACACTAACCTTTGATTCACTGGGGGTGTCTGGCATCCATCCCTGGTGTTGAGTCAGTTTTATTGATCTTGACTGTGCTCTTGGATAGTTATTTTTTTAAGAATAATATGCAGGACACTGTTCATGTTACCAAACATTTTGAATGCACAAATGAATGGAGCAAATTCAACATTAGCGACTTCACTACCCTTTAAACATTTTTCATATTGAAATTCATTAAAATGAATTGTGATCAAATACCAGCACAAAGGCTCAGAGAGCATATTTGCAGTCAGTTTGTTTGTTTGAATGTAGACTTTGGATCCAAATACACTAGGTGCATATCAGGATACACCACCAGGTACTGTTTTGGATCTCTTTATATATTACAAAATCAGTGTGTGCTTAACTTACAGCATTATTATATTCTAAATCAAATATACCAATAACATCACTTGTACATTTAACATTATGAGTAACTTTGTTAAACAAGACTTTGTCATGAAGCGAGAATATCTAAACTCAATATGCTTACAACACTGTTTTCATGGTCCTTTTACTTAATTTAATGAGCTTAGAGATGGGCCACACTGTTTCTAATATTTTTTATACATTCATCTGAAAGTTTACCTATAGGCACTGAAAGCGGTGGCGGAGCCGAACAATTTTCATAGGGGTGGCCAGGCAGGGGCCAGTGCTCACTGTGGAGTGGCATAGAAATTCCTATCTTGTTCAGTTTTGTTTGTTTTTTTGTTTTGTTTTTTGCATGCCATTGTGCTGTACTTAGGTTAGATTGTGATATATTCTTATGATGAATATGTGTCTATCTAAAATGACCCCCTAGAAGGGGTTTGGGGAGGTGCAGTACAACGAGATGGGTGCTGTGTTAAAAAGCATCCCAATTAGAGTTGTGGCAGTAGAGAAATGGTTCAGCACAAGAAAAAAATTACCCTATGTGGGATAGCAAGTGGGGTTTAACCTATGGTTGCCATGGCCACCACTGGCCACCCCCCACCTATGTCTGAAATAAATGTGTAGTGTTCTCTTTTAATATGATTCTTTGAAGGGAACTGTCTTCCCACTGGAAGTTCTCTTTACATTGTGCCTCTATGTCATCTGAAAGAGGAACAATTCCAGTATTAGCAAGGGTACCATTTTCTAATAAGGAAGCTTTTATAAAGGGTTTATTAGTTGTAACTAATGGCTTTATTAATGGTTGATAAAGAATATAGTAGTGCTTTGTAGATTGTTTATCCTCCTCCAGCATGACACCAGTGTGCTTTGTGTTTTTAGAAAACTCTTTCATTGATTAGGAAGACACTTTTGAACCCTTCTTCCAGTTATTAACAGGATTACTTGGAAACCCATGTGCATTTATTAAATGGATTGCTAACATTTATAACTGTATTATTACCAAAAAGAAAGCATAAACACGACCCAGACAGATATTTCACAACCTGAAACCCAAAACCTTGTTGTTATTGCTCTTTTGATTGACAATGGTAAACATTAGACCTGCTGATAACATCACATTAAAATTGTCAGTGTAGTCACTATCAATGTCACATGCTGATGTTCACATTCAGCACGAAGCACCATATGCGTACAGCCTCAGAGAGCCGCTAGTGTGGCTGTAGACTCTTGTTTAAAGGACTGGTGTGTAGTATTTAGTGGCATCTTGTAGTAAAGTTGTAGATTACAACCAACTGAATACTAGTTACCTTGCAAGCGTGCACTGCAGTGGCTCACAAAAAACGCAAAAGGACCTATCTAGACCCGGTGTTTGGCTGGTTTGGGAGACTCTGTGGAAGAGGACCTGCTCCCTCAGTAGATAAAAATAGATCATTTTAATGTAGCATTATTTTCAGGTGATTATACACTAATGAAAACATACCTAAAATATTCAAATGATGGCGTTATATAAATAAAATTGAATTGAACTGAATTTTGTATTTGAGTATTGCATTCCATTTCCGCCATATTCTGCTAATAGATCCCGTATATCTCACACACTGGACCTTTTATTATTAATAAGGCCATTAGTTACAAGTCATAAACCTTTGTAAGTGGTTCATTATTAGAAAATAGTGTCTCAGCGAGGAATTACTAAAAGCTTTTCTGTGAAGCTACTAATCCAAGATCGCTGGTAGGAGATGGAGCATTACAAATTACAATAGGCTTAGAATTGGTGCCATTATGGTCATGGCCAGGACATAGTGCTAGGTGGAGGCAGTCTGAGAAGGTTCCTGCACAGAAGGAGAACAGCGGCGTCATGTTGTCTGCCTCAAGAAATGTCACCAGTCCTGCAGGAAAATTACACAAAACACCAATCCGACAGAAGCGTTTAGTGAAAGGCAACTGATGAGGCACCCCTCCATGCCATGCTGTATACTCCCCATCAAAGAACTCCACACACCAAGACTCGTCCCCTCGGCCCAGCCAGCACGCCTCAGTGGTGCCCTTGCGGGGAATGGTGGGATAGGTGACACCCAGCTCCCAATAAGTCTTGCCAGTTACATCGACCTCCCAATAATGGCGACCAAAGCTGAAGCCTTGCAAGCTGATGACATTAAGGGTGGTGTCAAAGCGTCCAGGGAGGTCAGGAAGTTGCTGCCAGGTGTCTGTGTAGGTCGCACTGTCACCTTTGGGGGAGATGATCAGCTTTGGGTGAGCCGTCTCTGGATCCAGACACACCTCACTGGAATCTAGAGACACATATTTGACACATTTTACACACAAAAATCTACATGGTAAAGCGGTCAAGATGTAGTTATTAACTCTATAGAAATAATGTGTCAACTAACAACTCTTGATGAGTGTCTTGATTATAGGGGTTTGTGAGCAGATAAGCAGAAGCATGTTGTTGGTGAGGCTGAGAATCTGGTCAGCTTTAACTTCGTCCAGGCTCACACGGATCGGGTCTGTCCTGTTTAGAAGATCCACCACTCTGGGGGAGTCAGATTATAGTGAGAAACATCAGCTGCTGCTCCACTGCTTCATACTGGAGCTCTTTTCAAATGATGACATGATTCCATACCTGTCTGCTGTCTCCATGTCTTGCTGCTCAGGGAATGAAAAGAAAGACTGAAAAGCAGAACAATTAAAATTAATATACATACATGAATGAGAAGGTAAATATTACACTTCCAATCATATTTGTCTTGTAGCTATCAACTGAATCACCATTGTGTCAGGTTCTATGTCGGTCTGGTCCAGTGCCACAGAGAGTCTGGCCAGGTCCTGCTCTATCTCCTGGATTAGAGCACAGTTCCTTTCCATCAGCCCATCCAGGGCAGAGACAGCAGCTCGCTCCTCCATCTCCAGGTGCGACAGTGTAATCCTCATGTCCTCGTCCAGGATGGCCTGGATCTCTTGATATTTCCGTATGATGCGCTCCCTTATCATTAAGGACTTTTTCTGAGTCAGGCATAAGCATTTATCAGTTCATCATACTGCCTGAACACAGGTGTATTTAAGGTGTTAGTGTTTTTGTAGCAGGACAGCTGACATTTTTCAAATTTAAAGCTACAGTAGATAACTTTTCTAAAAATAACATTTTGTCACATTTGCTGAACCTTTGACTGTATATTGACAGTAGTACTTTAGACAGATATTCTGTGAAAAAAATCAGGTTCCTTTGGCTTCTCCTAATGTTCCGAATGGCATTTGGAAAACTCCACCGGGCCTGAATGAAAACAACCAATCAGAGCCAAGAAAGATAGCTGATTATTGATTCTCATTCCCAGGTCATCAGATACATTTTGGGTTGATGGCTTTAAGAAAGTTTCTAGTTTCTACTGTCAGGATATACTGAAAGTTTCTAATATAAAAAAGTTACCTACTACAGCTTTAATGTCACAACAAAGAAGAAGATTTCATGTTGTGGCAAAATGTAAGCACTGACTAGGCTGAACACAACTTACTGTGATTTCTGATTGCCGTGCTGCCAGTTTTTTCAGTCTGTATTTCACTGCTTCCCTTTGCTTCTTGAGACTCTCTTGGTGCTTTTCTAATGTCTCCTGTAGAGAGGGTTGCACACACATTCAGCACAGCTCAGTTCAACACCACTCAGCCAAATTCTTTGTGGCGAAAGGCGGCTGCAGAAGCAGAAGCAGTTTATTATGAGACTCGATGTAGGTAGCAACATAGTGGAGATTGACTGACAGGAGTGTGTTTACTGTCACAACCATCTTGTCTTCAGTCTTTCTCTTGTATTTTCAAATGGTACAGTTTCCTGTGGTGGTACTGAAGGTTTTGCTGAGCTTCTGACACCTAATTGAGAAGAAAATGATGTTCATTGATTTCCTTATTTCCATTACGTGACTGACACACTGCAGTGTTGAGACCTCAGGAATCTGTCTTCTATATTCTAACTGTCAGTGTTTTTCAGTGCTGCCTTCTCCAGGAGGAACAATTATTATCATTCACATTTGTCCTACAATAATTGCCCCTGTGACTGAATGAGGCCACATTGCACACATTGCACACATTGCACAAGTGATGCAGTATCTGTGAGTGACACTATTTGACTTGTGCGGTTCATATTTCAGAGACAACATGGTCAAAGGACAATATTTTTGTCACGACATGTTAAAGACCACTGGCATGTTTGTGCAGTTTTTACTACAAATTGCTGAATGTTTTATGCCACTGTAGACATTTTCCAAAGCACACCATGATTTTCTAAATTGTTAAAGTCGGCCTCCACCCAGGAATACATTTTGTGTATTGTTACTTCACTTAGATACTTCACTTTGCAGACTGAGTTTGACACTAGAAGGTTGTCTGTCTGGTGAAGGAGGACAGTTTCTCTTTGCTCATCTTAAATCACAGTTTAAGATGCGTTTGTACTGATGCAGCATCTCAGATTTGAGAAATTGAGACAATATGTGGCTCCAGTGATAACTGAGATAATTTAGAAACCATTTATAGATTATTAGAGCTAATCTTTAACCCTTCCCACCCTCCTGAATGTAACTCCAAATGTAGTGATTCACATTTAGTTCTATCTATATAATCTTGTATGTATATCTCTCTTTATAGCCCATTACAAGTGAGATCATCCTTGGGCCTTTGCTTTGTGCAGCTGTCTTCATTGTTTTTATTTTTTATTTTTTTTGTTGTGCAGCTGTTGTGTAAAAAAAAAAAAGCCAATAAAAAAAAAAGCCAATGGTTGCCCAGAATGCAACTTACCCAAGTGTGATGTGAAAACTTGAACATGAACCTCCAGTGCACATACACTGAGCATGGACTTTTGTTAGTTAAGTTTTCAAATGAACAATATTTGCATATTCATATATTCTGGATTTTTCTGTGGCGAAGAAGTAGAGTAGATGCAATTTTAATAATCTTTAATTGGTTTATTGAACTTTTTGTGGAAAAAACAGATCAAACACAAATTATTATTCCACATATTGTATGTCTCAAAACGTGTCTGGTGGATCTTTAACTGTGTTTCTCCTACCATCCAGGGAGCCACTGTTCAGTTAATTTCAGTATTGTATGTAAAACATTAAAGAGTTATCCATTTATTTGAAAATGTGTTTCCTTTTTATTTTCTTACATTATTGTGGAATAATTAAGTCAATGTCAAGCATTGTCTTCAAAAGTCTTGACAATGCTTTACAGTAATTCAGGTGTGAGGCTGTGTCTGATATAGGAGTTGCCATGTTGTTGGAAACAAAAACCCAGAGGATGAACAACAGAAACATATTATAAACAGGATGAAAGGATTTTGGGAGTTCCTTGCATTAAAGATGTTGCTGCCGCTGCCAAGTCTCAGATGTCTTGCCTTCCCAACTGCACTTGAATGTATCAATCTGGAGGAGGCGTTCAAATAATCATTGTTTGCAACACAAAGATAACGAAACAGATTGTTGTTTAATGTCCACATTATCTTTCTTAATCAAGATTGTCAAATGTTTCCAATAAAGTGCATTAACAGAAACAGCTGCTTGAAATGAAGTAAAACCTTATTAGTTTGGCAAATGATGGCATGCTTTGGAAAATGGTCAGTTATACAGGATATATGCAGGACATGATGTGTTATATATGGGCCATGGTCTTTGAAGGCACAATCTGCAGTTTCAGTTTTATCAATGGTACAAGAATAATGACTAAATCTTTCCTAGGAGGGTGTTCACTAGTATATGTAGTGTTGTAGGATTTATTATATTTATTTATTATTTGTTACTTCATAAAACTTTAAGGTGCAGATATGCACTGTAAGTACTTCATCAGAGTAGAAGGCTAAAATCTAGTAAAAAGATGTTTCCTCACAGGGGCCCCAACTGATGTGTTTATGAAGAAGGTCAAAAGACTCCACCGTCTGATTGGTCCCATAACAGTCAATCAGTCCTCAGACTACCTCTCACCCTGGGTAACATCACTGAACCAGGATGTATATGGGTGAAATGCAAAGAAGAAAACAGAGAACAGAAAAGAGGCGGTGGGTACCTTTGGTATAGCCGAGGATCATATGGTTCATGGTGATTTAAAGCTTTATTGGCTTAGATTTCAATACAACAAATGGCAGTGTGGGTTTTCATTTATAAAACAGTACTTTCAAATACAGTTGCTTCTTACATTAGGTGTTTTATCTATTTGTTGGTTACTGTATGTTGGATACGGCATTAAAATATATTAAGATTTGTACTTCCAATACATGTAAAGGGAAAGTGTCTGGCCATGTTTATGAGAGCCTGAGAAGAGAGACATTTTCTTTTTGTCAGGGTCAGATGAATGTTTGGCATGTACAGTAGGCAGGGGAAGAAGACGGACGATGTGTAGGTGCTTGGATGATTCATTTCCATGTAGATCTGGTAAAACAGTTGATGGGTCAGCTGACTGCTTTGCCAGTGGCTTTTTTTTAATTCCAAGACTCACTGAGCCGATTCTTGCAAACTTTGGACTAAAACTGTTTCAGCCCAAGCAAAGGAAAGCTGACACATGTTCAACCTACGAGCATGGACATTTCGTAATGGCGCCATGAGGTTCTACTGTACTTACAAAGTTCCACAGGAATCAACAGCAACAAATAGTAGGAAGAAACAAGCAAGAAAGAAAGGAAAGCAGTTCCACTCAAAGCAAAGCAAGAAGTAAAACAAGCGCAGTCAAACCAAATAACATGACCCTATTTATCATTCATTCTCATTCTTTGTCATTTTTGAAGAGATTCCCATTCCTTGTTTCCTGTGCAAGTATAACTGGACAAATCATTCAGCTCACAGTCTCAGGAAGCGTCAGAGCAAAAAGAGTCCATTTCACAGCTTCCTTGATTATGCCAGGATAAAACAAAAACCCAGAAGAAAAGGAAATAAACCAAAACCTACATCTAGATTACAGTTGTTGTGTGCTATCTGGATGAATGTACAGTATGTGCATGCTGCTCTGAGTGCTAGAAGAGCTTGGCCTTCTTTTTCATGTCGTTGCGTTTCCACAGGGGAAGCCTGTCAAACTCCTGGATCTCCATTCCAAAGATGTCAAAGAACGTTTCAGGTGCTAAGTGGCGCTAGAATTGAGAACAAAGGTGAAGAAAACAAAGGAGGGGAGGGTGGGAGGGGAGGGGGGTGTTCGTGGTTAGCACCAAAGCCATAAAAAGGGTCACTGCAAAAATGACAAGAAGCAATGGATACTGCACATTCGTTGCTACAGTTGTATTTGTGTAACATGTTATTTACACAAAGTAGAGAAATCCAGTATCAATTGCGGACAGTCAGGTGGAAAACTGATACCTCCAGTCTGGTTCTGTCCACATCCCTGGGCAGTTTAGCTCTCCCTCTACTGGTTATCATGAGCATTTCATAGGGATACACCTTCAGAAGGAGACACTTGTCAGTGAACAGGTCAAACCTACCAGCTAGAGTTAAGCTTCAAAAACTTGCAAACAAACTTTTCTTGATTAAAACAAAACTATTAAATTTGAATATTTTTGTAGTTCTGACTGACAGAGGGAACACTGGGTGGGAGAACAGGTATGTGACAGGAGGCCGACTGGGAGTGAGAGCGGTTTTTCTAAGGTTGTTTGGGAAAATGCAGGGTGCTATGGTGTGCACACTTTTTTTTGGGTGTAGAAACGTGCAGTAGATTAGATAAGGGCAAAAACATGAAAACAGAGTTATGTAACGGGCTGTATTTTTAGAGTAATTTAATGCAAACTAAAAAAAGAACTAACACCAGTAATGTAGGCCAAGTAAATTCATATGGGAATGATTGTCCTGAAAACTGAGGTGCTGCTACTTTTTTTTGCTAAATAACTAATCCCATCTGTACAAGAAGAAACTGGCAAATCATAGTTGTTAATTTAGGTGAAATGCTCAATAATAAGCAACTAGAAGTTCTTTGAGGCCTCTGACCAACTCATATCCACACAATAATGTACAATCTCTTATATACTACGCAGTATATAGTGATATGAGTTGTTTGGATGACAGTCTGGGTGTTGGATTCTCCACTGTATGCTGCATACAGTATCCAGCCACTTTAAGTCAAAGCTATGTGCAGATGAGCATGGAGAAGCCAGCATGCTAAGCGCTAGAGTGACTTGGCAGCTCTTGAAGCGGCATGCTAAATCAGGAACCCAGCTAATGTGAGTCTTTCACCTCCAGGAAAAATCTCTTTTAGTTCCTTATTTCTTCCACCAATGTCCCCGCACTAAGAGGGTAAATACTCTTTTGGGCTGGTCTCTCAAATTACCATGGTTGGACTATCTCTAAATTAGTGGCAACGTGTATCCTTGTTTACAAGTTAAAATGCACTTAAAGTGAACAATATATAGGTTTTGTAACATATTTCAGTGTAGATTACAATGTTGTCATCAGTACAAAAAGAAGAAGATACTTGCTTTTGGTTCCAACATATTAGGCATAGATACTCCCCTGTCCATCCTTGCAAGTGCTGCACGGCCATCCTTAATGTGCTAAAGAATAGAACATACACAAATGTAATATAGTGGAAGGGGACTGCAGGGTTAATGGCAATGAATATGTCCACTAATGACAGTGGGCAAGGTTTTCACTGGATGGAGCAAGTAGCTTGGGTACTGTTGAGTATCTTAATTAGTATTCAAGATGGGCAGTCTTTTACATGTTCTCTGAATGTATCTGTATTTTTTTTTTTTCTATGGTGAATATATTCAAATGTGACATTTAGCTTGAGTCATAACATTGGTAAACAACACACAAAACAAGACATGAAGCAATGATTGTACATTGCATTTACAGAACACTGGTTCAGCTACTGGGCAGTGCATGTTTGGCTATTTGAAAATCACTGCACTGCATGCCCTGTAGTTGACATTAATTCAACAGTGATGCAAGCATGTAGCAGGAGTGAGCGGTGTGCATTCAGGGCAAGGTGTCTCTTGCAACCCATGAGCAAGCAAATATATTATGCAAGGTGAAAAGGCATGCCATGTGAAAAAGCAGATGAGAGACATACCTGAAACTCTGCAGGACAACATGGGACAGAAAATGAGACTCACAGTTAATGGTTTTGCTGTCAAATCCCCTGCCAGGCTACTATCTACAACACTGCTGTCCCTGACGACACATTGTGTGAATCATTATGCAAATATTTCAAAATGCACGTCCATTTATGTACACGTAGCAAGCCATTTTTGAGAACTGATGCTGAATAGTTCTGGTGAAATTGGCAAGAGATTTGCTTGGTGGCCACATTTTGGTAGCAGCTCTCACCTCTGCCTCCTCCACACATGTCACCATAGCTGTTGTACTGGGTGAAATCTGTAGACTGGGGCTGTGGGAACACATACAACAGTACATTAGCATTAAGATATGGGCATTGTGTTGCTGATTTAGGAGCAAAATACAAAACTATGTATAAAACATGTACAGAATTTGTGTTTTTCTGCTTCTTGGTGATTAATACTTTTTCGGATTGTCAACTATTTGTTAGTATGAGTGAGCGCTCACCCGATGCAGCCCATTCCTTCCATAGCCAGGCAGAGAGTTAGTTTTGGTTGGAGAAGTTGGATCTGAAAAATAAATATTGTCTAAGATTTTGACCCAAATCAGGCACATTTATATTAACAGAGAATTTTTCAAATCACAAATAAAAGAAAGATTAATGTCACAGAAAAACAAATGCAAAGATCTTCAAGTGTTATATAGCACAGACTTTGTGTTACGGTACATTGCTGACAACTCAGGAGCATATTAGCTGATGAGGCTGCTCTGTACCTGCGTCACAGTTGGTCTGTTTGGGGTCGTAGCGCTGAGCAGAGAGGCTACGTGCGTGACGCTCCCTGATCTGCTCTTTTTCCATCTCCTCCTTCAGGATGAGCTTTCCCAAACCAGACTGAATCTACACACACATGCACACATTCAGATCATTTACCATATATCCACATTGTGTCTGTGACACAAACATTTAGGATGCAAAGCATGCATGTTTGGCTTTCAGATTTATGATTAATGGCGGATATACAGAAAATGCAATAACCAATGTGTGTCTTTATGTTGGTGTTAATTTGAAGTTTCATGGCTATCTCACTGACCTTGCTGAGATGTTCCTCCTGGAGCTGCTTTCTTTTCAAGGCCTCTTCCTCCTCATCTTCTCTGGATCGTCTCCTCCCTTCTGACCCTACGGGTGCCGTACACAAGCCCAAGGAGTTACATAAAACACATATATAGACACCCATAAAGACAGACACACATCTTTCTGGAGGAAACCATGCTTCACATGTATTCGTATAGTAAAACCAGATGAAATGTTTCATCCACAGTTCGGTTTTTGAGAAAGACTGAAAGATATGGCTGCTTCATTCGACTGTAGAGCAGTGAGGAATACACACAGTAAATGAGTAATAGACAGACACACAAATGTGAGACAGAGTTGACGAGACAGACAAACAGAGGGACTTATCGAAATATTTGGCTACACTGACATGATGGATGTTTACACTTCATCATTCATGTCAAGATTTAGCTGGATGTTAAATACACAGAACAGCACAATGTAAGACAGACAGACAAAGGTCAGTTTGAAGTCAGTCTCAGTTATCTCTGTCTAAGTCATTTGTGGCACTATTGTGTAGAGCTAGTGCACCCATCATGTGCAGTAAGTGAACGTAAAATGGTGAAACTGATGCTACCTCAAGCAGAAAATAATATGCCAGCAACAGAAACCAAACAACGCTTCTGCTTTGTGCAAGCAAAACATAAAGGCGAATACTGTAACGCCTGAATAACAGCGTGAGATCGGAGTGAAGCAGGGATGCAGTTAAGCTTTTGGGGCAGCTAGAAGGGAGAAACAAGAGTTAGGTTGTGGTAAGGTGTCTATTGTACCGCTAGAAGGTAGCAGTGCAAGCATGCCCATTAGGAGCCTACTGTACCTAAAACAGCGAGAGAGTAGGGCCAACGGTCGCCCTCACTCCGTGAGCTGTCGTCCGGAGAGGGAGCATGGGCAGCGGGGAAGGTGGCGGATCTGATGATGTCATCAGCAGACTTGCTTTGGCGTGCTATGGCAGCTGTATCTAGGTTGGTAACCATGGGAACTGATCTATCAGTGTCTGGGTCACAGTCTCAACCACAGGTAAACATCTTAGCACCATCTGATCGTCCGGCTTAAGGATAATTTAATCCTGGTCATCTTGGTTTCAAATATTTGCCGTCTACAATGCAAAAACATTCTTTCCTAACAAGTCACTGAAGTCTGGATAAAGCCTAAAAATCTAATCTTCTGAAATAAGTGGTGGTGAAGTGCCAGTGGGTAAGAGTCTGCAGTTTTAAGGATGTTTCAAGGGTGATTTTAGTGAAATCTTGCAGAAACAAGATTAAACCTGCTCAAAGAAACATCACTTAATCAAAGAAAAATCTCAAAACCAGCTGGCGTGCATTGTACATAAGTGAAATCTGCTCAAACCATTGGATTATCTTTTCAGATCCATTTTAAAGAGAGACTATGTAGCTTCCGTCTTACAAATGAAAAGTTGAGCTCATAAGAAACAAAAGATATTTCAGTATAACTGACATTACTGAGTCCATTTGCTGACTTTTCTCTACTGCTGTAAGCACCTGTCACAGACAAATATTTGAGTGGTTTTATCGCAAAACGAGTAAACATAAAGTATATTGTAGCTACTCAGGAGACATGTTCGTGCGATTCCTCTTTTACTTATCAGGTTGCCTTTAACGCAAATTAATCCTGAAATTGTCACAACTTAGTTACATAGTCTCGCTTTAAGCAAAGGCTGACTGTAACATTACTACTGTGACTTGTTAAAATGCATAAAGGGCTGTGTAAAACAAGCTACAGGTCAGACAAAAGAGGATTGGAGACAGACTTCAAACAGTGCTTATACACTGACACTGGGGGTGACTACATGGTTAGATGAATACACAGTTTCAGTAATTAACAAAAGCATTTTCAATAAAGAGCCCATCAATAACATAATTATCTAGAGCAGTGGTTCCCAACCTTATTGGTCTGAGGTACTCACATGTCATATGAAATCACGTACCCCTTCATCAATTCCCACCAATCATCCAAATGTCATCATCCAATCATCCAGACTATTGATAATATAAATGTGAGTATTGAACTGCCAATATTTAGTTTGGTTTGGTCCGCAATCATAACTACTCCAACCATTTCTCCATTACTTTTGACTATTTCCACCCTTTTTTCATTACTTTCAGCTATTTTATAAATGTATCCATTACCTTTAACTACCTGTTTAGACTTTGCTTGCTTGGTAACTAGTTTTCATGCACTCTTACATAATTGCAACAGGGAGTGTTCAGGTGTTACAGCTGACTTAATGTATGGATACATTCTTTTTATCAAAAAAAATTTTTTTGTTTTTCAAATTTGCTGAGCTACTCCATTTAAATGAAATACTTCCTGGCAAGTGCAGAAGTAGCCACTGGGGTACAACGGCCCCTGGTTGGGAATCACTGACACTAGGGTATTACTCTGAATTAGTACTCAGACAGACATTTTTCACTTTCCTTCTTCCAGTAACACAGGCCATACTATAAGAGGAAAGGTACCGTGTTGTTTGTAGATGGGTGGTTTTCTGTAGATGTTGCTCCCCTGATCTGAAAACATTCAAATACAGACAGACATTTACGGAGTGCCTCTCTTATAGAAATTAAAAATCTATTAAACATCTCAACACAGTAAACACCATAAAATGATGCAGAGAGATTACATTGAATTTCACCCTTTTTCCTGTGATACATCTGTATAGTTGTGAAAGAAGACGGGAAAAAGCAAAAGCTGATCCCAAATGGGGTATAATGATAGATAGATAGATAGATAAAGATAAGATAGATAGTTAGAATAGATAAGATGATAGATAGATAGATAGATAGATAGATAGAAAGAAAGAAAGAAAGAAAGAAAGAAAGAAAGAAAGAAAGTAGGGACGAGCAGTGACAGGGTGCGCTCCAGCTCCTACCTGGGAGGTGGAAATGTTTAGGGGTCAGAGAGAGAGGCGGGGTGACCGGCCGGCTGTCGGGCCTGAGCGGGAGGGGGGAGCTCCGGCCACTTGGCGGGTCAGTGCCTCCAGTGAGAAGAACCAAGAACAGAACATAAGCAGGGATACTAAAGGGGAACCACAGTCTGAACGGTGCAACACACAGGGACCAACGGGACCAGTTGACCAGTCATTTTGAGCGAATGGGAGACATTCTGGTTGGTTTTGATAAATGCAGTTCATGGAGCTTTATGTGCAAGATGAAGGGGCAAAAGAGCGTTAAACTAGCAGAGTTTAAAATAGCGAGATTAAATGCTTGAGAGATGTGTTATGAGTCATGAAGTATAATGTCTGTTAGAGTGTTGTATAATATGAATTCACGGTTCAATATCAGTTCGCGGTTAAGAAGTTAATACCTCCCAGCATGCAACTGCAAACTTATATTACAAAACACTTCTTTTTATCTCAGTCTTACAGTTTACTGGAGTCTGGAGACTCATTCTGATAAGGCAAAAAATCATCCATCATCCAACATTCGGGGGAAATGTCAGTTTGGATATTGGATTTGGATTACTAGTATCTCCCAAGTGCATGCAAAGCTGCAACACACAAACACAAAGAGCCTGTCAGCTACTTTGGCAGAGGCTGTGTTAGACAAAGGTGAATAAGTGCATGCTAGTTAGTGAAAAATCTGTGCTTTGGCTGCATGGGTTTGACCAAGACATGGGTTTGATCATTCAGGATGACAGTTACAGTCTAATGAGAAATGGCCATGAGTCCAGAATGACAGATGGGGCACTGAAAAGAGGTGGCATCCCAGGTGACGATGGACATGATGTGTCGCCTTGGGGCGGGGTCAGTGGAGAAGAATGGAGTGGGGCCCTTACCTTGGCTATGGGGGAGGAAGTGGTGTCTGAAAGGGGAGGTGGGGCGGGAGTCACTATTTCTGGAGCCCACACTGTTACTGCACAGGGAGGAGCAGAGCTTCTGCATGCCTGTCAGAGCCTCTGCAGGGAGGGAGGGTGTGGGACAGGGGTCAAAACCCCAGGACCAGGCAGCAGAGGTGGACGATTTGGGGAGGAGATAGAAGGTGAGAAGGTGAGGGACAAAAGAAAAGGAAGATATACAGGAATCAAATGTCGAAAAGGGGAAATAAAAGACACCCAAAGTGAGAGGTAAGGAGTATTCAAGATGAACAGTAAGAAACAAGGAAAAGTATTACACGCTAAAATCAAACTTTTTTAATGGAAGGAGTAGCAAACTCAGGAGAAATCGTGTTGTTAAAGGTGCAAAATTGACTTTAAGGTTGTTATTCTGCAAAAGGAGGGATTGTCTATCATGTCAAACCAAAGCGTTACATGAAAAAAACACAATAACATAACAACACAAAGTCAATTTTGGTGAAGTTCCCCTTTAAAGTGGTAAATAGATCAGAAGGACAGAAATAAGAACCTTAAGGTGGAGGGTCAGTGAACTCGTCCACAGTGTTTTAACTGCTGTACCTGACTGGCAAAGAACTCATCAATCCACCTTATGAAAACCCTGAAATCACTGTAACAATATACGTTTATGCTAACACACACACATACAGCCAAACAATATGGTCTAGTTAAGTACTCACCTGGCCTGTGAAAATGCTGTGGTGACCGCGACAATGTGGGGGTGTAACCATGGCGATTATAAACTGGTGATCCTATGGAGCCCTGACTGGTGGACCTTTGGAGGATGCGTTCCCTCCTGTCATATGAGCCCTGACACACACACACACACACACAGGTTATTGTGCACACTGCTGGGATAAATGAAAATACTTTACATCTCAGACAGGGGAAGGTGAATTTGACCAAATGGTATGCTCACCTCACCGGGCGGGGTTGGCGACATGTTTCTTGAGGACTAGGAAGAATCAAACAAGTCGGAGTTATAACTTTGTTTTTAAAACCATCTTTGAGTCAAGACAGTCTATCTAGATAATATTAGACTGCTCCAGAGAAAAGAGCCCAGGCAGCCAGACATTAATATCAGAGCATCATAGTGTTAAGAGGCTTTAAATAACACCACTCTGTACCAGGACTGAGAATGGACTGCTGATCTTCCACATTTCTGCAAGCTGCATACCTACAACGCACATGGTCTCTTTTTATGTGATGCACACCTCTGTTCTTTTCTTTTCCATTTAGGATCATTTATCATCATCAGCACACTTTGACAAATCTTACCTTGTCATCGGGCAAAGGGGAACGCTCCCTCCTGGCAGTCTGGAGCTGTGAGGGACACAGAAGTTCAGTACTGTATAAAATCTTTTATTAAAGCAGATTGAAAAATCTCATACAATCAGTAATTTGATACATTAAAATGGCTTTTCTTCTTTTATCACGTGGAAAAATCCCACTGAAGGAAAACTCAAGCAAAACAGCGGATGTTCTGAGGTATATTTGCCTTAATGCACAGTACTGTATGTGCATAAAGATGGCTTGCATGCAGGAAAAGATCCATGCGGTCTGTGTGTTTACCTCTCCCACACTCTCTCGTCTCTCCTCTCTCTCATCCAGGGAGGTGGTGTACAAAGGTTCATAGGTAATAAGATCAGGGCGCTCAATGTCATAAATGGCTTTGACTTTTGGAATGGCAGCTAGGTCTCTGTAATCAAGGATCTCATTGTCTACTTTTGCCTAGGGAGACAAATAAAGACAAACATGCATACACACACAAGGGTAAATGGAGATTACTACTGTATTTACTGAACAAGGTCTCACTGTCAAAAAAGGGAATTTCTGACTAGAGAGACAGACGATCTGTATCAGAACAATCTATTTAGACATATAAGTCCATTACATTTCTTACATAGATCGTGTGACCCGGTGAGCCAGGTATGCTTGAACCAGGTCTGGAACAAATACTCTCGGATGACGACCTCGTAGGCTGTAAGAAGAAAACACACAAGCGGCTGTTAGTCACAGTGACGTCTGACAGGCAGTCAGTCTCCCATGATCCACAGCCCCCTGCCACCTGCATATCACCATGATTTTTACCCAAAACACTTCAACACTGCACCGTTTGGCTTTCTTTCTGTATGAGCGATGAGAGGGAACTGCAAACCCTGTATTTATTTTTCATTGATTACATGAAGTACTTTGAAATACTAACATGTCATCTCATGATTAGGTCATTCATTTGCAAATTTGCAAAGTGAATGAGTGCTTTAGCGCTGTGATTTTATGTTTCTAAGAACCTCATGCCTGTTTATGGGAAATGAACAGTTTGGATGGCAGCAGCAGGTCTGAATGTAGCATAATTAAATGAGCTTTTTGCCTAATGGGTAAATGGGGATTTATAAACGATAAATTAGTCATCTTTGCTATTGTATCTGCTCCTCCAAATGTGTGCACATCTTTGTCTCATGCACCTTTGATATGAGCGTAATCTAAGGTGTTAAAAGACAAGACTGAATGGCTCCATATGACACACAGAGGACACTGCAGGCTGTCTCCAGCAGATGGCAGCATACAGTGCATCGTGTCCTATGTATATGGTGGAACACAGGATGATGCCATCTCATAGCCAATAGCGAATACAGTACCTGCCTTTCTGTTTTTTGGAGGAATAAGAGGGACGGAGGCAATAGCTGTGGAGGAAGGGAGAGGGGGGTTCACAGGACATCACACAGGGGTTGTGCCTCTCCAGCCCGACTCACAGTTCACACATACATCAAGGCAAACATGTAAATATGTAGATGAACAAATATTTATACACACACATACATGCAAAGGCCCATACACACACATACACACACACACACACACACAAACGCTGCCTCAATAGGGAAGTAATTTAAACCACATTAGGTTAAGGATTAACAGTTCAGCGAGGGAGCGGGAAAGGCCCATGCAGAATCCCTTGTAACATATTCTGAATTTCTATCTTTTCTAGTTAAACATTGTCATGAGACATGAACAGAAAGGTGCTTTCAGTCGAGACATAGTCATGGTCAATGGAGTCAGTGACACCCAAATTCCTACCCGCTCCCTGTGTCTCTCCTCTGTTCTAGTGGTGTTCTTGCAGCCAGGATGCCAGACTGTTGATCCTGAGGAGGAAGACGGAGAGAAAATAAATTTAGAACAACGTTTGAAAATAAAGTATATTCAAATTATTGACATATTTGGCTTTTTTCCATATGCGACACACTGCTTTTATTAATTAACGTTTGTTTATCTTCTGGATATACATAAATGTGAGTGACAAAAGCTGGAAGACAGTATATAATAACAATAAAATTGTGCAAAAGAAAGTTTAAATTCCTGCACACTGACAGCACTATGTTAATTGGGAAAATGAAAGACCTACATAAATGAGTGGAGGCGCATAACAAATGCAGATGCTCCCACACAGGGTACAAGGGGTCACTGAAGGGTTTCGGTATGAAAATGATCTGAATCATTAGCCAGATCTCAACCCAAATGAACACCTATAAGAGATTTGCCAGTTGGTTTTAAGTGGGTTTTGAAAGGGTTTCATATCTGAAGCCATCTGCTTTAGTTAAAAATGAACCAAAATTGAGTAACAAAGTTTTAATGCGACAATGACAACACAGGTAGGTCCGCCCACCTTGCAGATACATCTCTTCGCCTTCTGTGAACATCTGATTGCACCTGCTGCATCGCGCACAGCTGGGGTGGTAGTGCTTATCTCCTGCCTGGAAAACACAGAGTGCACAAAACAGACTTGACATCCCAGAAAAATGAAGATCAATGAAGCCCGCAGTAAAGCAAGTGAAGCAGAGCAGTGACTTCCAGGAAATAAACCTGGCGCTCCACCTGCTCTCAGCTACATTTCTTTCCTTTAACACCCAGACCCTGTTAGTGCAACGGATAGTTTCATCAGATCCTGTGTAGCGGTAACTGCTCTCCCTCCCTTCAATAAGAACTGTTGATGAAGTTGTGGCACTGGGCAGTTCCCCTTAAACTGGTCTGCAGTCTTCCTATAAATAAGGTGTTAGTCAACAGTTCATGTGGGAATGTGAACTCATGTAATGTATTCCAGCCATTATCTCTTTCAGTAAGGAAATGTTTTCCTTATTGAATATGACCACCATGACATCTGTCTGTTTGACACAGTCAACCTGCCGCCAGATATCTGAGTGTTCCTCTTTGTGATAACCCACACAGTGCAATCCAATAAAATTATCTGACAGCTAGAGCACCTGCATTTTCATCTACACTGATGTGGCACTTTGTATGCAGAGTGCACCATTATAAAGCCTGTGCCACTTTGACCAGGGGTGATAACTACCCAAATGAAATTCTGCCTGCTGTATAACACTCCTCAGTAACATTTGAGCTGGCAAGTGGCCACTCAGAGATATGGAGCCACTGACTAATATTTGCATTTTACTGTATCAAAAAGTCAACAGACAAACTATAGCCGCACCTCCTACCCAATACTCTCCTCACGTACACTGTTTAACTGAATACCTCTCTCAGGGATGACAAAGGTACTTATGTTATATGTGTAGTATGCCATTAAATACTCTGCCTATTTCTCTCCGCTTTTAATAGCTGCAATAATTACACCTGCTTTAATAAGCCATTCACATTGCACTTCCAGAGGAGCTAACAATATGCAAACCCACCAATGGCTATGTGGTATTTGACCTGGGTCTTGGGTCAGTGATTAGACTATCAGACAGGCTTCTATGGCTTTGGCCCCACTGATCCATTGGCAGCAGCTCAGGGGTGAGATGCCGAGGCCTTTTCCTATTGTCATAAAGGCCTGCCTTAGTGCTGGATTACTGTAAGCCTGGCTGGCTAGCAGTGACATTTTCATACCATTAAATGACACATAACTCAGTGTCTGATTGGATCACTGTATGCAGAACAGACAGACTAGCACTTGTTCAGGAGACCAGTGAACAGAGAGAGCACCAAGGACAGAGGTGCTGGTGATGTTTTACATAAACTCAGCTCAGACAACGTTAATAATGCTTAAACAAGAGTTTCATAACAACCACATGACATACAGCATTAATGAATAATGATCACTTCTTGAATGTCAGATCACATTGGGTGTTTTATATAATATTTATATAATTTGTGGCAAAGCAAGCTTGTATGAGTGTGTGCAAGTGCAAACAGAGTTTGAAAGACCTGAAAATCTGCTAAGAATTAATCTTTTAGTCGACTACAGTCATGTCAAGAGTCTATTTGGCACTGTGATGAAGAGATTACACCAGAGATTATCAAACTACATTTCACAATTACACTCCGATGCAACATCCGCAGAATTTAGATGTTACAGCCAACTCTCAAAATGTCTTAACCATGTACTAATTTATATGTACAATGAGTAAATCCAGAAATAATGCATTACAAACAAACATTAATATGAAACTTACCGTGTACTTTCCAAATGTCTCTGCTGTAAATGTACTTCTTAAATAAATATTAAGTAGTCAAATTCAAGAGAAAGTATTTGTTCCCCTAGAATGCTTTCAAACTTACCTGAGGCAGGATTCCTATATAATCCAGGTGCAATATTAACTCTTTGTTCCCACATCCCACATCAGATAGCTGGCTGCACAGAGAGCATTGTGCCTGTACAGTTCTAGGGAGCCAGTCAGAGGGATGTTGAAGCTGAAGTATGTGATGTGTCTGTGTCTTACCTCTAGCACCTTCCCCGTGATGAACTGATGACACGCTTCACACTGAACTCCAAAATGGATCTGGTAGTCCTTCTCACAGTAGGGGGCGCCATCCCTGAGAGGAAAGAGACAAATCTAAACACCAGGGACTTGACAGTGAAATATCACATTGTGTGTGAACCTTATGCTGGCCTGAATTTGACCAAATAGCCTGTAATTACAGTGGATATGAGCTGCTTACTTGCTGATGTACTCCCCGGTCAGCACTTTGCTGCAGGCCTTACACTTAAAGCAGCCCAGATGCCACTGTCTGTCCAGTGCTAGAAGAGCCTGTCCGTTCTTAATGTCTCGACCACATCCTGCACAGTCTGTAAAAAGCAAAAGTGGCACCGCTTAAACAAAACACATAAAGTGTTCTCACAACAAAATTCGAAGGAAAATACCTGTAGAGTGAATTAATGCTCGCTTGAAAGCTTGTTTCGTGTAAAAACACAGCCTTTAATGGGCTCACAATATTAGCCAGGGGGGGCAAATTATTGCATGCAAAGTGAGACATCTTGTCAGTTATGACCCAAGACACTAGATGGTGATAGAGGGTAACCAACAATGTTCTGACAGCTGCCTCTTTCTATCATCCACATCTCTCTTACCAGGGCTCTAAAAGCTCCATCTATATCCAAGTAGGATCCCGAGGCTCTAAAAGTGTAAGAGGTTGGTTTCTAAAAGAACAATCATCCTGTCATCTCTTCTTTAATGAATAGAGGATGAAAGCAACACAGAGCCCACTGCAACCACGGAGGACGATAACTACGTAAGGCATAACGAGGTTGCAACGATGACGTGAGGAGAATCAGCATGCCTTATTTATGGGTGACCTTGTCTAAAAGCTCTTCAAATGCCAACAGAGAGACCAGTGGGGGTGAAAGAAAGAGGGGGAGACAGAGAGAAAGAACAGGAAGAGGAAGAGAGGAAAGAGAAAGAGGGAGGATGAGAGGAGTTGGAAGAGGAGGGGTTTGAGGGCTGCACATTCCCTGTTCCAGAGCAAAGGAAATGCATGGCCATGCATTATTTAGCAAGGCCTGTCTTGGTGTTATTCATAAAGGAACATGGCTGGTCGAACACTGCTGCGTTTACAGAGAAGAGCGGAGAGAGGTAGAGGAACTCTCTGAATGATACATCATTCAGTCTTCAAGCATAACTGGGTTGCAGGAGAGCTTCTTGCAAAGTGTATTCTGCAACACTTTAGTAGCATTGTACTAGCTACATACTGTTCTGCACATACTTACCTAACCTACGTTTTTCCTCTTTTATATCCCCTTAAAAGGAATAGTTTGAAATTTTAAGAAATATGTTTATTTTCTATCTTACTAAAAGTTAGAGGAGAACACTTTCTTATCGGTCAGTTCAATCTGATATGAAGCTATAGCTTAGCTCAGCAGCTGCTGGACAGAGGGGGAAACAGCTAGTCTGGCTTTGTAAAAGCACCTACTACACCTCGTTAGTTAAAACTCTGCTACTCAGAGAACTAGGGTTATGCAAATAAGTCTCTACTAAAAACAGATTATAAAAACTAAGCTAATTGCTGCTGGCTTGAGCTTCATAATTACCGTCCTAACATGAAAGTGGTACCATTCTTGTCAGCGAACTGTCAGAAAGAACACAAATCACCACTGGGTGAACATTTCAAACCCAAACTCCAATGTTTTAACTGCACCATTTCATAAAATTGAAATATTCTAAATGTATTGGGCTTCATTTTACACACATTTCCCCAAAATTCAGCCTAACAGTTTTGGCTTGTAAACTTTTGGATCTTCACTCCACTTGTGAAGGTGTTAATATTACCAATTCTATATTTATAAGTATATATAAGTCTTAAATTGATTGGAATATATTGTTCTGTGTTCAATTAAATTTATGGTAATAATGCGTTGGCAAGATGACTGATGTAGATCTGAAAATTATTCTTCACAGCACAAATATCACAGCTAAAATGACAACAGCCACATTAAATGTCATGTATGAATCACAGCTGGGTTTTTTTCAGACTTTTTGTTTTTCTAAAACTTTTTCAAATTCCTTCCAGTAATCCATTTTCACTTTGAATCCTACTGCAAACTTCACAGTTCTGAGTGGAAGCCAAAATAGCATCATGTAAAAACAAATGCCCTCCTGTGCATTAAACCTGTGTGCATGTGTTTAATAGACAATGGCTACTTACTGCTGGAGCCCAGGATGTCCTTTGGTCCTGGAGACATGGGCTCGACACAGTACTGACATAGACAGTCTTTGCCGTTAAAGGTCACCCTGTCCCCGGCAGGGAACGGTCGTCTGGAAGCGGGGTGACATCAACAATTGGTCAACAAGACATGAGCTGTGGCCCCCGTGGTAAGTGTAAGAGTTTATTAGCTGTGGCTCGCAGGCTGTCTGACGGGGCTCAAGATGACAGGACCTGATAGTGTGGATGTGTGTCAACACTGTGTCCCTGAGGCCATTTAGTCAGATGAAGCAGAGTGACACACAGCGTGGTACTGTACAATGTCTACTGGAATTCCTTTTATTATACTTACTTATTATATTATAATTATTCATATGATTCTAAGCATAATTTAATTATTACTGTATTGAAAGGCTGTGCCCAAATGCAAGAAAGTAAGATCTGGGTAACTCTACAGAGTAACATTTGTGAAACGGAAAACAATGAGAAAAATTTGGGCCAAGTTTAGCCAGAGATATGTTTTAAGCATAAATTCAATTCGGAATATTGAGGTACTTTCATGCCTGGTTTCCTATTAAATTATTATTGACCTATAGTGCTTTCCAGGCCTTTTTAAATGGGCATGTCCCTATTTTCTCCCTTTAAAAGCATTTCCCAAACCGTGATATAAATATCTATGTATTTTGCAATGTAATTCTAGTATTTCTACAATTTACAAGTTTCTCTGGCTTTATCAGCTAATGTAAAATGAGTTTGTGTCTTACTTGCAGATGGTGCAGACGAAGCAGGCAGGGTGGTAGGTCTTGCCCAGGGCAGTGACCACTTCCCCCTCCACAAAGTCCCCACAGCCATTGCAGCGGGTGCCGTGCATGCGTTGGTAGTCCAGTGTGCACAGATATTCTCCATTCTTCATGAAGAAGCCCCCCTGGGCGAGGTCACAGCCACACACTATACAGGACACACACATTGGGCACTGCGAGTCAGGTCATTTAGTGCTTTGCCCATATAAAGCATCCAACCATCAAGCCAACCAACTCCTCCACGCACCAATGGCTTTGTTAAGACTCTGTGTAATCTTGAGAGGCTCGCTGACTGCATGAAATGGATGCTGACTAAAACTTCAGTGAAAAATAGATTTGAATAGCTCTGTGTGTTACTAAGTGAGGTGTAACGTAAAATCCTCCATCAGCGGTGTTCACAGTCACAAGAAGAAAATAAACCTGAACCTTCTCCCTTTGGAGGAACATTGAGGTCTCGTGTGGATTAATCAGCACAACTGCTGCAAGGTCTTTTCATTGTCAGTGCGGAGGTTGACTGTTCAATACAACAACAAATCTACAATTGTCTAGCCCAGGAAATGACCTTGATCTGTTTTTGAAGATAACTGGCTCTAAATACTCCATACTACACTGTCAGTCTCCAATGAGCTTCCTTCCATTCAATTATAACCTTGTCATCTACACAAACATGAAAGACTGGCAAAGGAAGAAATACTACTGAGGGAACAATTGAGAGTTTGGTATGGATATCTTAATGTTGGTGTGCCGTTGTTATTGGGTTTTACTAATGATCATATGCAAGATTGGCTATATCAGAGGAAATATGGCATTCAAAAATTGGAATGTGGGATATGATAATGGCTTTCATCTCTGTGATATCAAACTGAGAGGTGACTAAAGGTTTGTGCCAGATTTAAACTTCACATTGACCATCCCCTGTGCATGATAAAATGTGTAGCAGCACTGTGTTGCTGTACTAAAGCACAGCAATGCTTTGAGCTAAATGCTAATGCCAGCATGATAACAAGCTCACAATGACAATGCTGATGTTTAGCAAGTCTAATGTTTATCATCTTAGCATTTTAGCAGGCATGAACATTTGCTAATTAGCACTAAACACAAAGCACAACTGAGGCTGACGAGAATGTTTTTACACATTGGGTAATAAAACAAATTACATGACAATCCTCCAATAGTTTCACCGCAATTCTTCTAACAGTAATGGTTGAGACATTTCACTCAAAAACACAAATGTCAACCTCATGGTGGCGCTATAAGAAAAGCCAGGGGATCATCAAATTATCAGAAGTCACATTCTAAGAACGATAAGTGTCTGATGTATGTTGTGTAAACTCCACATATGGTTTTATCATGATACTGACATAATGTACAGTATTTCAACCACCTAATGATCACATGGGCCATATAGTCCTCCGTTCCACTACCACAGAGTGAGTCTGGGAACGTAATAGCCTTTTGGAAATGCCACAACTAAGAGGGGAAATATTTTGAAGTCTGAGGTGAATGGTCCTAATCATTCTTGTGCAATGAGCCACACTTAATCCTGGGGATGAATGAGAGGGAGTGACAGACAGAATCAGATTTAATTGCATTAGGGCTCAGGGGTGATGAGATTAGCTTGTAAACTAACTGAGAGAAAACCAGCAGTGGAGATTTGGTGGCCTTTGACTGTGATGTCCAGCAACCTCAGATTTTCAGCAGATGCATGCCCATTACATTAAATGCCTTTTTGGAAAGAGAAGAGGGTGAATTTATGAAATTGAAATGAGAGTGAATTCAGGGAGGTTTTTCTTTTTGCATTTCGTGGAATGAGATAAACACGTACAAAAAGCAGCTGTTTGGGATTTGTCTGCCAAGGGATAGTATCTGTTAATAATCTTTGAGTGTCAATAAGCTCAGGCAACCTGGTATGACTTTTTATTATTAGTCCTACAAGTTGGAGACCAGTGGAAGTACATTTACAGAAGTACTGCACTTAAGTACAAATTTGAGGCACTTTACTTGAGTATTTATGCAATTTTATACTTCTACTTCACTACATCTCTATTAATAAATATTGTACTTTTTACTCCACTACATTTGTCTGACTTTTTAATTTAAAGATTCCATATGCTTCCTGTTAAGTTAAAACCATGTATGCCCATATTTGGTGATTTTTAATGTGAATGTTTTTGATAAACTGAAGGATTAAGTGTTCCTTTACAAGCTGAGAAAGTCTCCTTCTTCTTAAGCTAAATAAGCTATTTAAAACCCCTCTTAGATTAGCTGGAATTGTCATTGTCATTGAAAACAGGCTCTTTTCTGAGTTTTTTAGAGATACGTGGTTCTTACAGGACAGCTATGCTGCGAATGATCTTGATGTGTTGCTGTAGTAGTTAAAATAAGCTCAGGCAGTGAAATGCAATGTACACATTAATGCAGTAGTAATATTAATGCAAAAACATAATATATAATAGTAAAACACTGACAGGGACTATTTCACTGCACAATGAGTACTTAAATACATTGAGCTGATATTACTTAACTGTTGAGATTGACAACAGGACACATACATTAAGAGCCAGGGCTAGGACAGTTTGTCTTTTGGTTATTAAAGCCATCCTCGTGGCTTCTTTGACAACTGCCAACTGGTGTGAGCATACACACACACACAAACACATACACTTTTAGTACCACCGACTCTCTAAAGGCATGTATATCCACTTGGAAAGGACAGAATTAGTTACTAATCTCAGTGTTTGCTTGTGTTATTCTGGGCCTTTGGTGAACTAAGCTAACTCTCTAACAGTGCTCCAGTCACAGATTAACTACAAGGGCTTCAGGGTTCAGCCTGCAAGACTGCTCGGTTGGCTGTAGGCGGATACATCATAATCATGTCAGAATGCCAGAAACCCATCAGTAATAAGGCTAGACACAGAAGGATTTGCACTGTCACTTGTCATAGCAGTCTGGATGTTACTTTAATTGAAGTATGAAGGTCTGAGAAGTGAATATGAGTCATGCTTCCATGTATCCCCCTCGTTAGTGAAGGATGGAAAGGACGTTGTGGCCTTTAGGGACTTGTACTGCTGCTATCTAACTTTGTGTGAATGGAATACTTTTTGGGACAGTCATGGAAAAAGAACAATTTGTTCAACAGTACTTTTGTCTTTTTACCTAAAGCGGCATCAGATATGACTCCTATATACACCTGTGAACTAACACACTGCATCACAAGGGAGAATCATATTTTACAAAACACAACTGTAGTCAACATAGACAGCATGCACTGAATGAAATGAAGCAAATGTCCTACTATTGACAGTATCAAATTAACTATGAATTTTAAAACTTCACACCTTAGCTGCCAATTTTCACACAACTCCCACATTCTTCTTCTCCTGTCCAGAAAATACTCATCTAAGCTGTCTGAAGGCTCATTTTTAAATTGTAAACAAATAACTTATTTACCAAAGACTGGTATTTTTCATGATAATATTAGGGTTGTCTCACACAGAGTAAGGCTGAGCCAAATCACAAGTAGTAATGGAACTCATTCAACATTTAATTACAAAAAAGGTCTGATCACTAATTTGCAACCAATTGTCATTATTGACATTCTTGAAAAGTGTTCATGAATTAGCTGTGAGTTACTGTACCTTTACAGGTGAAGCACTTGAGGTGGAAGTGCTTGTTCTGCACCCGCAGCACCTCGCCCTTACATGGCTCCCCACACTTGTAGCACTGAATCAAGGGCTTCTCTGTGGAGTGGTGGTGTGTGTCCTGCGCATGAGCCACTGCAAGAGAGAAGACATTAACATTACGATTGAACTGTGATGTTGATGAGTCATCGGTTGTCGCTGCATGTGGTAGTCAGTGCAGTTTTTCTAACATTGGGTTTAGTAGTTGTTGTTTTTTGTGTTTTTTTTTAAGTTGTGTTCATCTGAGGACACACAGGCACAAGGGCCTGAATCTGCAGCATCACACAAACACCGGCGATAAAGACCAACTGCTGAGAGCCTGTCAGGGTAAGAGAAGAACAACATTGAGAGGGACAGCACAACTTGGGGTTCATAGCCCAGATAGGCTCTCTAGAGAGTAACAACCTAAATATAGTCTTACTTGATCAGTGGAGGATGTAGAGTCAAAATGCTGAGAGAAGCAGGGCTTGGTAAATGGCATGCTAAAACGGTATTGATAAAATCAGATTCACTATTAAATTTACAGTCCTTTCATCCTCAAAGGAAAACATCATGGGCCATTAGCTATCTATGCCTGGTTTATGTTCCCAGTAATCAGTTTGCAGTGCAGGCTATACATGGCTTCTTTTTGCTAAAAGTTTTACCGTCAAACACTGCTTGAGATAAACTTCTGTCCCATGCTAACAAATACACTGAACAACACTGAACACTGAAGTGACAAATATGTTTTGAAGCTACGGATTTTTACGGAAGTTGAAGAGTTCCATCCAACCCTGTTTATGTTAAATGTCATGTAATCAAAGTTCATCCTGAGGGGAGGATCTGACCCAACTTTCATGGATATCCATCTAAGAGTTGACGAGACAAATCATACAAAGGTGTATATGTCAACCTCATGGTGTTGCTGGATGAAAAGTCAAGGGGACCACCAAAGTCGATAGATAGATCCACTGTGTGGGACGCATGAATGTCTGTACCAGGTTTTTAGCCAATACATAATGTTGAGATATTTCATTGAATACATAAAAGTCAGAGGACTACCAAAGTCAGTAGGCATCATTCTCTGGGGAACACGGATGTCTGTACCATTTAACGATAATCCATCAAACAGTGATAGAGAGAGATAGAGAGATGTTTCAGTCTGAACCAAAATTCTGGACTGGCAGGCTGACATTGATATCCCTAAAGCCATGCTGGTGCTGCTAAGATGACTACAAATGGCAAAAATCCTACTTTTGAAGGCAAAATTTTAAATGACTGGTTGCACTAGCATGCATAGATCTTAATCTGTGTAAAGATTTAGACATCACTTTTTTAATGTGACGTATTGTGGCAACCATCATAATTATATAAGACAGAGAAGCTATTATCAACTTGCTATATCTCTATAAACCGTATCCAGTATTATCTTTAGATCCATGATATGCCTGTGGCCCTCCTCAGTATAAAGTTTGGGCGTCCCTGACATAGACAGACATTCATCCTGCACTACTGTACAGGACGTAAATACTGCTGCAGTGCCGCACTGCACACAGCTTATCAGCTATTCTCAAACCAGCAGATTATTTCACATTCAGGACCATTAACTAGCAAGGCAGCGTCTTTCTTTCATCCTCTCACTTCTCTCTCTTTTTCAAACAAAGATGCACACACACAAACATGCACACACACACGCACACTAAGAATACACATGAAAGAATCTTTGCTCTTTCAGCTCTACAATGAATCATTAGTCTGCAAGGCTATAATAAGACACCACCAAAGGCACAGAAATAGCATCATGACCAATCGATGGTCTACCAAAGAGACATTACTCTGGATTATTGATGACTTGGCCTACCTTGCATCCCACTTCTACGGTTGCAGCGGCTGTCTGATATTGAGAGACAGTTTAATTGCAGTAAAAATCAAATCACCAAGAGAGCCCAGTCTTCAGAACATTATTTTCTTAATGAGACACTTCAACAGTCTTTGATTCATCCTCTGGAGGCAGTCTAAAATGTCCTATGCCAGTTCCTGTGGGTACCATTCATAGAGCATCAGTCTATTCATAATTCAGATTGAAAGGGAACTGAGAGAAGTTGTGAAAAACAGTGAAAGGAGACGAGATAACAGGAGGAAGGATGGAGAGAATGTGGGTACGAGGGGCTGGAGGGTGGAGGATCTTTCTCCCCGGTGTCTCTGATGTGATTACACTCAGCAGGACAATGAGTCATCTCTGGGTGAACCAGACTACTGTGACAGTTAGTCTCAGCAGCTCTGCGTGTGACATCGCACCTCCATAGAAAAACACAGCCCATCTGGGTAACTCCACTCTGCAAAAAATATATAATCTAAGAAGTCATTTTAAGCCTTGTACACACTAGTCACCCTGGAAAAAAATGTTTATTACAACTTGGTTTGGTCAGATCAGTAATGATAACCAAACCATAAGTAATCGCTAAGTTCTTGAAACACAGACATTACTACAACAAAGTGCGACAGGGTGCGACATATGAGCCATTCAGACTGGTTATTATTAACCACTGTGAGAAATCAAAAGCAAGCACATCCAAAAATCACAAATAATCTGTCAAACTGTGTGTAGCAGTAAGTACAAAAAGGCCAAAGCTGAAGGCCTATGAATTGTGATGGATGCTTACAATTAAAAATGTGCAATTTTACCATTGTGCTTTATTCTCTCTTTCAAATCAGTTTGATTCGTTAGGGTTGTCACCCCATTCCCAGATCTTTGTAATTAATTTTGTGAGTAGAGGTTATTATTACTGATTACTAGAAATTATGGCCCGAAATACAAAATAAGTAATAACAGCTTCTTCCTTTAACACCAGGAGAAAGAACTGTTTATAGCATAGTTTCACTCCTTTTCTTGAGTTAAGACAAATAAAATTTGATGATTTAATGAAATTTCAAACTTAGATTAGTTGATTTTTTTGGGAGAAGCACAACTAGCTGTAAACATAATACTGACATGTTATAAGTTATTGGGGCCATTTGTATATAGTTAATATAGTGAACATGTTGCAAACAATTGCTTAGCAACATTAGCATTGATTTGGACAGTGTTGGGCACTATAGTCAATAACTAATTATACATTACTGTACAAATGCAGTAATGTAATGCAAGTAATGCATCACTGTACATTACGTGTAACTTTACTTCTGTCAAATGTGCCTTTTTTTTGTTTTAAACGTGTAAATATAAAATGAGACATGGTTATTTAACAAGCAGGCCAGAGAGATTTATTGACCATTCAGCAGCTAGTTTAGCCTCTGTGATACAGACAGTTTTCCACAGGTCTTGACCTCAGCCGCGTGGTTCACACACCCTCCAACTCTAAACAAAAGTCGGTTAGTCCTGAATGTAGGCGTGCCCGTGGCTAAGAAAACATAACATGTGAAAAAGACAACTTTGGAATTACAGGGAGTCGCATAACTCCTCTTTCACAGACTCTGCCTCCCATCGACTCGAGCTTGTGCTAAGCTAACATGTCTCGGACCAATCTGTCCACTGAAGAGAGAGACCTCAAAAATGATATTTAAAAGTATAATAACTGGGCTTCTTGTACTGATCTAATGGATGTCTGTCTTCCTCCTGTATTGGTATGCCACCCCATCAACACTTTAGCAGTTGCAGTGCATTACACTGTACCAAAAAAGGACATTTTGTACCCATCGCTGTTCTCTGTATCAAAGGGTTACCTTGCTGTGAAGAAGAAATAGCCATCTCATGTTATTCATTTACAAAGTTCTACTGTTAAAGCTTCCAAACTACCACATATCTCTACTCTTATTTAAATCTAGCGACTACAGCACGCAATCCAGTAACTACCTAACCTTAGATGTCCCTCTTGCACTCACTAATGTTGGTAGAACTGGTTGCAGGTACTATGCACATTTAATGAACTGCAGAGTACCCTTAAACTTGAGTGTTGCATTCCCATTGGAGATTTTAAAGTTTTATTATCTGATGTTTTCAGTGATTCTTGCACCTGTTTTTATTGATTCCTCGTCTATTGTGTGCTTGTGATTTTGTTCTCAGGTCTCTCTTTGAAAAGAGATCTTAATCTCAAGAGATTTCCTGATTAAAGAAAGATAAAATAATAACAATGTTTCATTGTTCTGATGCCAACAATCTTTCTCTTTGAGCCTGTTTATATTGCCAAGTTACTATTTTTAACATTTCATAGAGTGTTGAGTTGTCAGTGGGGACAGCACAGCATGGAAAAGTCAACACTGCTAACGTCATAACAGGTTGACAAAAATCCAAGACAGATGTTTGAGACCCATGCACAGAGGCTCTAAAAAAATGAGTTTTGGATGGGAATCTATGAGCGTTGTGTGTTTTTCCAGCTTAACCCCGCCTCTTCCCCCGTAAAGTGCTGTGTTTGCCTCAGCAGTGGCTGCACAGAGGGAGAGCGACTGTGGTAAAATCAAGCCGAGATGGGTACTCTACGTGGTGTTTCATAAAAATTAAAGAAGCCAACATAAAATGGGCTGTTAAATTTGCTGAAAGGATTCAGATTGAACCATTTATAAGATTTGTTTGGAAATAAAATCCATTAGTGAGACCTCTTTCAAATGTTTAGCAGGCCTCCACACTTATGACTCTATGCCTACAAAAGCATGACTTTACTTCAATAACATGGATTTGAAATAGATCCATTAGTGAGTCTTTAGGGGTTCCTGTGATAGCAACAAAATGGCGCTTGATTCACTAGAATGTATATTATATAATGCTATAAATAAGTAACCAGGCGGCACATGAAGTAACCTCAGCACACAGCAACTTACTGTGAAATATACAGTAGTACAATTTTTCAGACTGCTGCTCACATTCCTCATTCTGGTCTGGATGTGTTGGCTGTGCTGACAGAGTGATCTGTCCTGCCTCATCACCAGGGGATAAAGTGACTGATATGAGCCTAAACACACAATGAACACACACACACACAGCCACGGTGCTGAGGGAACAATAACCAGCAGAGCATCCCAAAGCCAGGCGCAGAGGAAAAGGGGGCTGCTCTCTCCCCCCCTACATCCCATCCACCCCCCACCCATTTAAGCAGAGCCTAGCTGCGTTGGCAATAATAAAG